AACTAATGTTACATATGTGAAAGTGAGTAGTTTCAGCGTTTTTGAAGAAACAAATCGACTTGATTTTCGCTAGCTAGTTACTTCTCATTCTTAATAATTATTAATTCCTACCGTACGAGTATATTGTTAGGTAAAATTAAACACGAAAAACTAAGAAACTCTTAGTAAGCTTTAGTGCAGTCATTTGTCTAATTCCAATGCACTACACGACAGACGACTATGATAGCTCATTGGTAGAGAGACAGCAAGCTGTGGTCATAGATTCGTGACCGATGTCAATCCGGAAAACGTCAGTTAGTAATGAATGGGTTTTAATATAATGAAAGCGAAAGGAAATATGAGTACAATTTTGTAAAGTCACTAGATCAGCGGGTAATGATAATTGTGTGCAGAGAGAACTTGCCAGTCATTTCTATTGAAATCAAACACGATTCGTTCATCAGTATTTTAGGCGTGATAAACATACATTGCTTTATGTAATCTACATCGATTTTTAGACGCTATAAAGAACCATCAAGCTACATCTATTATTTAGAGAATGTAAGATGTGGGCAACATTGCATCTTATCGTAATGAAAGTAAAGATGCGCCTTGTAACTGTGCATTAGTGACTGACTCACAGGGAACTGACCTAGCCTGCTGCAGAGTGCATTGACGCCTGTGCCGGCGCATATCGCTGGTATGCCCCTTGAGAGATAATGTATATTATGTTCTTGATGAATAACACATCTGTTTTCATGTCTGGTATAGGTGGGATATATTCAAGTTAAATTCGGGTGTTTAGCAGACAATGGTAACAGACATTATTTATGCTACTACGTTTTAAATCTGTATGTTTACGAAATATGTCTTTCAAATATTCATATACCTAACTGCAGTAAAGTTTAGCAATCATATATTCCATATTAGGAGCGACATAAGGTATAGTAATTTGAGTTGCTCGGGAAATAGCGGAAAATAGATTTTTCAGGGACACCGTTTTTAATAGTCATATCGTTACTTACTTAAAGATTTTAGTATAAATGTCGTCTAAACGTTCATCTAAGTATTGTCTGTAGTTATTCTTATAGAGGAAAATAGGCAGGCATGGTTTACTTACTTGATGTTTAAAGAAATACCCCAGCCATGTAACATCTAAACAAGACGCGCTATCGCCCGATATTGACTTCCGATATTCGGATAGTTTACACGAGTAAACGATACACAACACTTAACGGTTTAGAACGCGAAATACACTATTTAACTTGACTATTTTATTTTCACTAACACAGCAAAATAAATTCAAAATAGGTGAACTAATGAACTTTGTATTTTTAACTGGTGAACTGTTTTTGGAACGATCATCTATGTATCTGTTTATGGATTAGCAATATTGATGGCTCTTGTGATTGTATTATTGCATTAACCCAAAATGGTGCTAGGTTTGAATCCCGCAAAACTAAATCAAATGTCGCAAGCAGGCTCAGATCAATTGATTGTACATACAATCAATCAGTGAAACGGACACAGAAATGTGTTCATCTCTTAGATTTCTATGAATACGATTGTAATATCGACGCCTCTGAGTCTTGAGTAAGATGTATTAATCACTCAAACACTACTTAATCAAATTAAAAAAACAAGTATATAGGTAATTAAGTTCACTATACATCAATTATATATTACACAGAAATATTATAGAATGATGCCCATTTCATGAGGGAAATAAATACATATAAAAATGATTTTAACCGTTTAAAACGCGAAAAGTATTAGTTAAACATATGTAATGGATATTTTTTTTTATCGTTAAACTTCCTTTAACGGTTTGAAACGCAACAATACAGCAAACTTTTTATTTAAGCATGAACTACTTGCGTTAACTGCATATATTACTTAATTATTACATACTTAGTTATTTTCTTGATTAGTGAAGGAACAGAAATAGAGGAATGATGAAAAGTATATTTTCTCGAATAACAAATAAAAAATATTAATTAATCCCATTTTAATTAATATGCTTAGATATGTTTATAGTAGTAAAAAACAACGATTCTTCACTGTATTTTAAAGCAACGTGGAGTGAGCATTGAATAGCCAATGAAATTTTATGTATTATCAAACTAAATAAAATTGTACCTAATCTTGAAATCGTCAACTTGACCGTAATTCGTATGATCCGACCAAGGTCCTGGGCGGATGATAAGAGAGTTGTTTCACAATAGCAGAATTATTTGCGGCAGAGCCACCATCGCGCCGCCTTGACGAGACCGAGCTCCGCTGAAATTTAACACAGTCGCGCACAAAAGTGATTTATACAAGACGTATATTATATAAGGTTACATAATCCCATCAATCCTCTAAAGATAATCATATGCCTGTAACCATCTGTTATTTTAAACACAACGACGTCTTGCATTGCGTTAAGCCTGAGAGGTCTTGGAATCATGCTCCAGGAAAACAAAGTTTTGGTGCAAGGGAACAGAACGCTAAATGAACGCTTCGTAAAATTGGCCGCATCTAAAACAGATATAGAATGTCTAGCCTCTAGACGTAACATGTATAAAGCTAAACATTTCCATAGAGTTCCAGTTCAGTCTTCAATACTTTTTGATTTTATGTAATTTGTCATGGGTAGTATTTATGGATATTAGAAATATTAAAGATCATTTCCCTGGGTATCACCATTAATCTAGGTTTATAGTATGCATACGTGACATGGCGACATAGAAAAGGGCTTTCAGTCGCGAGTATACCTGCGCATACGCCGTCGTATGTAAGTAGGTCAATGGCAGAGCGTGACGCTGACGCGAGCGGCTCGGCCCTTTGCGCAGGGCCCTCCTTGAACCATTCGTGTTATGCTGGCTGTGGTATCGGAACTCAAAACTATGATACCCGATTTTATGTCCTTTTCTCTGCTTGTGCAATTATACAGTAAAGACACATATTAATAACATATTAAGTTATAGTCTCCTTTGACGACAGAAAAATATATCTTTTACTTGAACATAGACAATAACAATTTACCAAAGATTATCCAATCATAGAGTTGGAAAATTGCTTTTAAGATTTAAAGTATTTTTTAATCTGTGACTACTTAGCACTTGTTCTATACCTAAACTACATTTTTCTTTAAAAGTTTAAAGTTTGATCCACGTACAATAAATAACCACCAGACGATCTATTACTATTATTAGAATTAATTGAGACAAATTTCATATATTTTGTGTCCATATTATTTCTAGATTGTGATTTACTCGGTTATATACGCATTTTATCGTGCAGCGATTTTCAAACTACCTACAAACGAGCACCTACTACTGCGTTTCTAGCTATATATAAAGTATGAAACCTTTTTCCTTAAAACATAAGTTTTTATCGTAATAAACTAAAACAATAGTAACTGAACAAATATTAAGGTACTGAGATGGAAACAATTTGCATAAGTGTCTTTATCAATGTTATCGAAGGTATGTATCAGAAGGTCTCGGCGACCTTCCTAAGCACAGTCGAGGTTCTTTGATTCGCTACAAAATAATGTATTTAAAGAGCTAGTAATAAGAAGTACATGAATTATAAAGAAATGAAAATAAACACTGCGAACTGGTTAAGTTTGTACAAAAAAAATCAAATTGAGATTTATTTGTTATGGATTTATTTTTTATGAGTATTTAGTAAATATCGTTTTAAAACTAGTAGGTAAAATCGAGAAAACGATATATAACATTGCTAAGTGGAAATTTGAAGCCACATCCTATATATTTAGCAACTATAAACCAAAATATGGTTAGACATGGTGTGTGCAAAGAAAAGTATTCAAAATTAAGTTACAAGAGAGAACATAGAATATTTTATGAATACGTGATATGGAGGTCCATGCCCGTAATAATAAAGTGCCTTAAGCAGCTACCTCTATCTTCTCCTTTTTTTAAATTATATACTAGTATTAGTTAGTAACTGGGTCCGTGCGCTGCGACCAAAATTCTTGTGGGTATATTCGCGAGCACGAGGTCTTGTTGCGCAAGATTATACACGTGTCGGTCGCGACAGCGGCGACCTCTTCCGAACACTTCCGATTAGCAAGAAACAACAGAGACCAACAACGATTATTTGAAAGGTTATACTCTGACGTATGATACGGAAATAAATATATAATTAAACGAAGGCAAACATAAATCAGAATAACGCTGTTTTTGTTTGCTGGTTTTTCGACAAAAACACGCTGAAATTTTTCGGTATACCAAATCAGTAAAGTGCTTGGCTCAATGGTTATATACACGTATTGCCTGAAATGTTTTTTATCACGACATTACAAACTTCTAATCTTGGAACACTTGTTTAATTCGAGATTACTGAAAACAAGTCTCTCCAAGGTTGCATAGACACTGCGCCATGGCCAATTTACGTGTAAATACATCAATCAATGTTCTGGAACAATCATCAGAAATTAATATACAGATATCAGGTCAACAGGTTGCTAAGCAGTTAACTAGTGCTGGTTGACATCTATATTGCTGCTGTCGCCGAATGTTGCTTGTCTTGTGACCTACAAAATGAAGAATTTTTAACACACCTCAACCTGCTTAGAAACGCGAACAGTTTTATAAAATGACTATGGTAGATACCTACCGACCTACTTGCTGAAAAGAAGAAATAATTTCTGTCTGTCTAGATACATAACCATATTGTAATTTCTGATATACAGTTCTAATCTTCCAAATGCAGTTATTTCTAGTTTCCATTAAATTAACAATTATGCAATTAAATAATAAATCAGAACCTAAAATATAACGTTCTCCCAAAAAATAACGTCCTTTAATGCTAATCGAACCCAAAATATGTGTTATTTTCCTTGACTACGCTAACCTTCCGTATAGTATAAGGAAACCTTCAACATTATTAATTCTAATTGCTATTTTACATTAAAATTTAACATTACAGGTCGACCACTTCCACTCGGAGCCCTTCACCACTACAAACGTAGGTTAAACTAGCGCAGAAAGCGAATAACATAGTCGGTGCTATAGTGGGTGTACGGCGAACGCACACAGCGGTAGCGAAGACTTTGTTTTGCTGTTGAGATTCGCGCGTGTAGTTGCGCAAGCATAGTGGAGGCCATTGACACGGTGGACGTGCGTGGCCGCCATGTTGACGGGCGGCGCAGGCGCAGCCGCGGTAATGGAGCGCGAATCTAGCGGCTTCTGTTCCGCGCGCTTTCGTAACATGTTTGTGCTAAGCCGAGCTGGTGATGTGGCTGATTAACGGGTTATTGATAACAGGCTGCAAATGGATGCGAGATGACCGCGTCTCTTTGAAGAAAAATAACTTTTAACGCTTACTACATAGTAATTATTTATTTGCATATTTTATATCTCCTCTCCTTTCATCTTCCCAGTGACCACGGCTCCTGCTAAAAGCATCCAAAACGTCGGGCTGTAGTTAAATATTTTAAATAAGTTTAACTAATATATTCACGTTTTAAACCGTTAAAGTTGTTATGTTTGACGTATACTTCTTTTCTGTATCCTAACCTATATCAGAAAGTACACTCATGTGATTGTATAGGTACGTTTTTATTAACAAGGCTAATAAAAAGATTTTAAAAGTTCAACTCCAATGGTATCTATTGCGATAGGTAGAAACATAAAATAAATATTACCGATAGAGAACTATAAGAAATCCTGCTACAATCATCATGTAGGTATAATTCGCAAGAAAGAGTAGGTAAGTCGTAAAACTTCCAATAAGAAAAATATCAATACTTTTAACACACTTCCGTATGTCTTGTCGTTGTACTAAATTAGGGCACTCTTAAAAACTTAATAATTTGTCCTAATTCGAGAGAAACAATCGAATTCATGCCGCCGCATACAGTAGACCTATAAAACCATTTCCATTATTAATGGCAGTGTACGTCGCTAAATCCAATCAATAGCTGTTAAGACTGATAAGCGCTATTTTGTAAAGGATATTGGCTCGAAATGAGGTCACTTATGTACCTCTGTTGCAATGTCGAGCATGTTTTCTGTGTTAATAGAAACCTATTTTCCCCGTTGTACGTTGCGCAAGAATATTCGCGAACAGATAACGAAGTAGGTACACTGCGTGCCCCTCCGTCCTCTCTGAGTGAGTCCGGTTTGCGCGTGCTATCCCTCTCTCTCACGCGACGTATCGGTAAGCGTCTCTGTCGCACACCATGACATAGATACCGATAGTTTACAGTTGCGAAACAGCGCGGATTATATAGCAGGTGGAATGTGCCACAGACTGGTTTAAATATGCTTTCACATAGACTAGAAATACATAAGCGATATTATAATGAAATCTGTCGAGATCGTTTCTCGTATAATTGTATGCGAGCTCGTTAATTAGCATCTTTCGTATCTAGCGAAGAGATTAGCAGTTATTTCTTCTATAAATGTTTATTTAAAGAAATTATAAGTGCAAATTAGAAAGAAATTTTGGTGTGCTTAACTTTCTCGACATTGCGTAGTTATTTATCAACATCATATATTTTTGGAATAAATAAAAATAAGTAACATCAAATTCACGGTTGGAAATCAATTACAACTAAACTCTCAACTAGGGTATATTAGTTTTGTGTACTTTATTTTATTCTGTGATAGAGGACGGGTTTCCCTTGATGGTACATAAGTGAAATACATATATATTAAACATTTTGGCTTTGAATATTTAGAAATCTACAGGCGATTAAACTTTACTGCTTTTGCATATATGGACGATGGTATGTCAACCACCTTCGTAATTTCCAGACAAAGTCCAACAAATATATTGTAATTGGAGGAAAAGACAAAGTACTAAAACTACAGTAAGTACTAATTATAACCAAAAGAAATGAATAGCTCGTAGGTACTATGGTAGAATCGTCGCGGTCATTAATACCAATACTTTCTAAAGACCCAAGACTAATCCAAAGTTTCCTCAGTCAATGATAATGGCGAAATTATTCGCAAAGGCGGAGTTTGCAGCATCAGATAACCAATAACTCCAAGAACAGGACGCATGCGCTCTATACTTCAGCAGTTGTCACTCTTCCCTGAAAGGTATGCGTGTGTTGGATTCCTATTTTATGCAAGTTTCATGGCGACACGGCAGCGATAGCGATAAGATAAGAATAATCGATAAATTCGCGCGATTCGCTCGCTGACCAAAAGTAAGTATAAAAAATATACGGCTAGAACAACTTTAAAAAGCTACTAAGAACGTAAATTGCTTAATCTATATATACAAAATGAATTTTCATATGCATAGGTATATAAATAGGCGAAATAGGCAACTATCCCCTAATGATTTTTCAGGTCATGGCATAGTCATTTTTCAGGCTCATGGCTATCCGCCATAGGAAGCACCTACCCCCTTTCTGGCAGATGAAAATAAAACATTTTTATTCAATAAATTATGTATATAAAATAAGTTTATATACAACATTAAAATTCTATGTTTTGATATTATAAATACTAAACAATTTCCAGCAAGTTCCTATTTTTGTTTTATTAAGCATTTTCCTAAGATGGGGTAACTATCCTCTACTAACTTTTCCCCTGATAATTGTAGATTGCTAAGATAATTACATGATATTATATGCATATTTAGAAGTTACACTCGCTGGTAACGATAATTTGGGCCCATTGTAAGTTCGAGTGATTAATGACGCTTCGCTAAAACTGGCTAAATACTTTGAAGATCAAATGCAGTATAATTGAGTGATTTATGAATCCAAATCCATTACGTTTGACACGGCTTGTTTCCTAAGTGATGAAAGAATCCTGGATTTACAACATGTGTTCTGGGTCACTGCCATTTCTTTGGCACTCGATGATCCCCAGTTATCTGCTAATGATGTTGTTTGTGGTAATGATCGTAGCTACCTTTAGACTCTTCAGTTGTTTATAAGCTCTTATGTTTTTTATTATGTGTCGATTGTCAAAACCAGTAATGAATCTTGATTGTCTTAGCTTTTACTTCGTGGAGTAAATTTGTGCTTCATCATTCAGTCAGGAATATTACTTATAGGTATAATTTACAATAGCTTAATTTTTTAAAGTTACTTTCGTAAATCTAAAAGAAATAAGTGCAAGGACCTTACTTTGTTTACGTTTATAAATTTGAAACCACGATATACAATAGTTAACTTAAATACTGTCTATAGTTTACGCGAGTAGTACACATTTAAATAAAACACTTTAACGGTTTAAAACGCGATATATTAGTTAAACTTTTTTGAAAATGATTTTTGCCCAACGTTTCGGATGCTTTGCAGCAGCCGATGAGACACTTTAGACGGTCTCCCCGTGACCGTTAAAGTGTTTTATTTAATTAGTTAACTTTTTTATTTTAACGTCACTGCTGCAAAGCGATACGCCATAGTTAAAAAGAAATAAAAAATCAGAAAACCTATTTACTTCGCGTTTTTAACCGTTAAACTACAGACCCTACCTAAAAGCTATATCCGTAATATCTGCTTTTTTAAAATTTGTTTATGATTTTACCATATACTCGTAAGTACTACACATAACCTACAAATTACATGTATTACAAGATAAACCTCTATAATATAGGCGTATTCCTTTTTAACCAAACAAGACCTCCCAAACGTGGAACGTATAAAAGGGCTCAAAGATAGGTTAATGCTGAGTGTCATAAGTTATACCACAGCCTGTAAAAACAGTTGAAAGACGCGGAATTTGGAGCTGTGCCTCCATGTGGTATCGATTAATCTATGAATAATTAGACTTTCTTATAAGAGGTGAAAGCATTTGATATTTCGCTTTCGTTTCTTAAAAACCTCTGTATTTTTATAAATTCATGTTTTATATTTACTTCAATATATATATTAGTATACAGTATAATTACAATGACACTTTGAGAAATATTAGACATTTCGGTGAGAAAATATTCTTTTAGGAATTCAGGTAGATAAGTAGAATGGTTCCAACTGTCTTTATATTCTTATATGTCTAAATATCGGAAGCCAAAATCGATCGATAGAGCATCTTAATAAAATGTTATTGAGCTGGGTGCCTAACCATTCCATTAAGTAATTTCCATGGTTTTTATAAAATACTTGTGTGTAAATCACGAAATATATTAGTTAAATTTCAAACGTGGTCCCCGTTGCCAACGTTGCTACAAAGTATCCGAAACGTCAAGTCATAGTAAAATTGTAAATAAGTGTTACTAATATATTGTCAATTTTAAACCGTTAAAAGTGTTTTATTTAAATGTGTACCACTCGCATAATCTACAGGCAGTCCCTAACCACTTGATTATCTGTCCTCCTCTTGTCTTTACAAAACATACTTTTGCTGAACAAAATACTATGAATGCAATAGCATAAACCTTAAGCAGTTCGCGTTAAAGTAATCTTATTATGGATTACGCCGTCCCAGCTCACGCTAGCTCAAAATATTCGAGTTTAACTAGCTGAGCCTTTGTCGCTAGCGTTAATTCGGCTCGATCACGATCACGCACAATCCCCGCGGTTCTCTTGAGTTATTTAATAGTATTTTTTGTGCCTCGACGGCCGATTGCGCTCCGCCACCCTCGGGCTTCGCGCAAAAAACCCTCTTGCTCACAAATAGTTAGAATGTTGTTTTGGAGACGGGCAGGGGGGTGGCCTGCGCCCGCGGAGATCGCTATCGCACGCACCCACTGCACGCACTATCCTACTGGCCACTTAATTGTTATGCTGATATACAAATAGATTGCCATGCTCAAATTTAAAGGGAACTGAGAAAAATCAACAATTACTATTTGTTCTTAACACTGAAGATACAATATATACTTACTATCTATATCTTGGGAAAGCGATACAATATTTCGTTCGGCGGGCAAGGAATGATCACCTACTTGCCTGCATATACAAATTATTTTATAAAGCAGAAAAAACAGGACTTCATATTTTTAGTACTACTATACTAAATACTGTCTTTAGTTTACACATTTCAATAAAACACTTTAACGGTTTAAAACGCGATATATTAGTTAAACTTATTTGAAAATTATAAGTTTAACTAATATATCGCGTTTTAAACCGTTAAAGTGTTTTATTTCACTACTATACTACCCAAAATCTAGTAGCATCAAAGCAAGTCAACAAAAAGTAGTTTAATGTCCAGGAAGGGAGTTCCATTATTTTGTCATTAACGATTGTAAAAAGATTTCTTAAAATTTTTATCCTTTTCTCATGCAATGATATCGCTAC